CCCCCCCCCCCCCCCCCCCCGCAAAGCCCCGCTGTGCAGCGACACGGCGCCTCCGTTACATGGGCTCTAAAAGCCATTTTAGGGTGTTAAAGCGGGGACCCCCCCTTGTAAAGCGACATTCCATATCCCTCACATGAGGTTCATTCGGGAATTAGAGAGGACCTAAGGGGAGGGAAGGGGGGTAGTGGGAACGCGGAACGACGCTGCCAACCCAATAAAACTCCACAAGACCCTTACAAAGAAGCAGAGGCATGACGGAAATCGCCGACCAAAATGGTGACGACTCAGTGACGCTGGAGGACGGGAAGTTTAGGTTTTGTCGCCATTTTGCCTCGTCCCCTGTATTGATTTCATCACTTTACTGTGCTTACTGGCTTCGAGTGATTCTGATGTTGGCGTTGAGGACACAGATATCTTTGACGAAGACAGGCAAACAGGCATTTGCCACGTCGTGTTATGCTACCACCACTGTTATGGCCATCACCGCCACTTTCCGTATTACCACTTGCCACTCACTTCTTGCCACGTACTACTTACGAATTATTACGTACTACTTACTACCACGACCACATCATCTTCGTCGGCCGTCGACATCACCGCCGTCCTCAACCTCTCTTGCCAGAGCGCCTCTAACACAGAGGCGTGACACGCATCCAGTCCTTGTGGTAGAGCGGCAGGAACTCCTCGCCGCCCGCGAGGCTCTCGCCAAGAAGGGCCCCGCAGCTGCAAAAAGCGTTCGCCTTCGCCTTCTGTCGCGGATTCAGAAGTAGCACCTGGCGTAAAGACGGCCGGCTTTATCTGCAGCCATAGTTCCGGGAGTGATAATTACTCAATAAGGCCACTATCCTGCTGGCGCTACTACGACCACCTTCTTCTGGTACCACTAGTAAACAAAGCACTGGTGGAGATGCTGCTACGGTACTCCACCGCTACGACTGCGACGATTACTACTATTGCCACTGCTGGAACTGCTGCTGCTGCTGCAAGTGCCTCTCCTCCTGCTACGAGCTGTACTCGTACTACTACTGCTGCTACCACTACTACGACGACGACGACGAGGAGCAGGAGGACGACGATAGTCACGCCAACTGCTAGGACTGCGACGAAAGACTCCGACTGAAACCCTAAGCCCTAGAACCGTAAAGCGCTGAACATCAGCAGCAGACATTCTACACCTTTGATGCAGACCAGGCGAGGACAGATATCTTCGCAGCTGGCAGTCCATGCGCAGCGAGCTATGAGTAGACAAAAAGTGCCTGAGCTACTTTGGTTCAGTTAGGAGTTTAGGGTTTAGAGTTTACGGTTAGGTGTTGGGTTCAGGGTTGGGATGTAGCAGCTACGTCTCGCCGGCGAGGGCATCTTTGGCAGACCTCTGGTTGAGTCCTATCCCGAATGGCCGACGGTTCAATTTCCAATGGACTATACTAGGCCCTGGCTTAGGTTCTCATGTCTTGAAGGCCCAACTTTAGGGTAGAGCAGGGAAGTTCCCAACAACAGCAAAGTCTGTGCGGGTTTTCCGGTCTGCATCAAGGCTTTGCAGACTGGGCAAGGGCTATAGACATATAGAAGTATATATATATATATATATATATATGTGTAAATATGTATATATATATATATACATATACATATATACATATATATATATATATACATACATATATATATATACATATCGAGGAGTCTCCGAAGATGGCGGTGCAAGGCTGAGGCTGTCAGACCAAGGTGCCATTTTTGCAGCCTCTTGGCACAAGCTGACAGAGAGCAGTTTCGGACGCATGACGAAATCGCGAATGCAGTTTGGTCGTGTCTTTTATTTCGTGCCCTACCGAAACCTGGAGTCAAGCCCCAAGCTCCTACGCCCCAAGCCATCCGATTGCGTCGCTTTACATCGGGAGCACCATGCCGCCACCGATGTGGCTCCTACGAACAGGCCAGGGTCAACTTTACCGTCTGATTCCCTGTCGTTGGAAGCATGTGGGGGTTGCTCGAAGCTGAACGGCTCAACACTGGTCTGCTGTGTGGCAAAAGGACCAGCCTTGCAGGGAATCCGAATGTAGCGTCCTCCATAACAGATGTGCCAGAGGTGTTGGGCAGTTTGCTATGTCTGCTTGATCTTTCCGCCTTTTTGAGGGTTCTCTTGCTCGGGACCCCGTGCGGAGGTAGTGCTAGTGGTGGTTGTGGCGGTGGTGGTGTGGGGGTGGCGGCGGCGGTAGTCGTACAAAGACGTCTTATACACATCATCATAAAGACCATGTTTACTGGCAATCGTCATGACTCGTGATAATGATCTCTGCAATGATGCATGTCATGTCGGAAGAATGCCCGCTGGCAAGGGCAGAAGCATGAACATGAGCGACGCTGATCTGAGAGAAGAAAATACAAAGACAAACAAGATAGATTACGCAGTCAGATATGTTCAAAAGCATTGAAGCGATAGTACAATCCTGCATGACCACCGTAGCCATTATTGGCAGCAGCCGTGGCGACTGCAACCACCGATCATCAGCATCATCATCAGCATCAGCATCATCATCATCATCATCATCATCATCATCATGATCGTCATCATCATCATCATCATTTCCCCAATCCTACACCCCTGACCCCAGACCTTTGGGACCCACAACCCCAGACTCTAGACCGCAAAGGCTTTGGGCTAGAAGCCCTAACTCGTAAAGATCTTTGTTTGCAGGTCTGGCAATCCTGCTGCCCCTGGCTTCCGCTGATGGGTCTGTAGGCCGCGCTGTCTCGAGTTCAGAAAGCCTATGGCCGAGGATAGGGCTTATGATTTCGGCTTGTAGATGTAGGGCAGCTTGTAAGGGTCTTGCAAGCAGAGCTGGCTTGGCAAGCTGTTCGAAGGTCTTACACTAGAGCGACGCATTATGGCTTACAGCAGCATTGGCCGAACAGAAACCACGGGAAGTGTATACAGGGATCATGGAAGGTAAGAGTTGTCTCTGCTCCTTGTGGGTGCTTGTAGCAGGTACCCGAAGCAGCGTCCCGCTTGGTTTTAGGGTTCATGGATGAATGGTCCTGAGAAGTTTGGTCAAACCCTGCACTCGCAGCCCGTGATGTCCCGAAGACGGGCGCCGGAGTCGCCCGGTTTCGATTTCGGGAACTTGTGGGTCTCTTGGCTTTTGGAAGGCGCCTGCCAGAACCTGGTGGCCAGCGTTGCGGAGATGGACTCTCGCGGGCCTTTCGCTTCCGCTTCGGTGGCTTCGGCGGCTTCGCCAAAATCCCAAAGCCCTGAATTCACCCCCAAATGCCAACCAGAGCAATGCGACGGGCTTCTACTTTTTTGGGACTTTGGGGATTTGGTGTTTACATGCAAAACCTGCCTACGACACCGAGTACGAAATCTTTACGCCCTTGAGCCGCCCTGATCCCTTGGAGCTTTGAAACCTGCAAGCCCCGACTGACGGTACCCGTTTCTGACTCGCTCATTGGGCAAGAAGCCCCGGAATCGCCTAAAAGTTGCGAGGTCCTGTGACTCTTGATTTCAAAGTCCTTCCGAGAGCTTCGCCACCAAGCATTCCGGAGATTTGGTTTCTTAGCCACCGAGGGTTTCAGGCCTCAGGCTGCTGGGATTCACTATTAGGATGTCTCGCTTTCTCAAGCTGAGGGGGAAAGAGGCTCCCTTAGGGTAATCGCGTCTACGTGCGCCAAGAACCATGAACCTCCAAACCCCAAGCTCTGCCTCAGATCCTAAGACCCGTCCGTAAGTAACGGTGCGGCAGGACGACATGTGCCCCAGCTGCAGACAAGTTCTCGGGTCACGGGTTGGAGGGGCTTGAGCTGAGGGTTCTAGCAGTTCGGTTATGATACAAGAAGTCAAAGCAAGGGTGAGGTCTCTCAGACCCGCCCTAAACTATACACTGGTTCTAGACTGGTCCCAGGATCCTCCTTACAAAGTCATAAAAGCCCATCGCGGATTTTTTTTAAAATGTTTTCGGGTTTCGGGTTTGGAGCTCAAAAACGAGATTCCTAAAGCATGAGGCCGCACAGGTGTGGGAAAAGATCCGAACTTCCACTCGCAAAAGCGAGCGAACTAGAGGTGGATTCTTGGGACGATCCGCTAGTGGATCTTCGGGGTCCTGACTAGTGATTTCAGGTGTTGGTTGAGGAATTTCGATCGCCTTCTGGGGTACGGGGGGCAAAAAGGCACCGCAAACTCTCCCAAACCCCAAGCCCCGTCAAGCAGGTACTTGGCGGCCCTTTGCCGGGCACGTCTTGGTCACGACTGCGCGGCCTGGATGAACAGCGTCTGGGGGTTATTCGACTGCGGGGCTCTTGCCAGTATTGGTACTTTTGTCGTTGCAGTTGTTGCTGTTACCGTGGTACTGTCCTGCTTTTTGTGGTAATCATTGCTTACCACTATTGGTATATGCCTGTACACATACATTAAAAAAGCAAACAAAGGTTACATTGATATGTATATGTATATATATATATATATTTATACGCACCTCCAGTATCATTGAACCCGTCATCATTGTTGCTTCATGTATGCCAGTGTTCTCATAAGTGTACAGTGCCACCACCATTGCCCGTACTACGTTTATCCCTGATACTGTCACGTTATAGAATGAGATGTTAAGAAAGTGTACAACGACGATGGCTTGTCAAGGATCCTTACAATTTTGTTAATGAAAACTGCCACGTTTTTCTGATCATGTTCACGAATGCTCCTCTTGCCTTCAATACCTGCAATACAAAGCACCACCCTAAACCGCAAGCTTCCTGAACCTGCATTCTGAAGCCGTAAACCCCAAACTCCCCAGGTCCTGATCCTCGACCCTGAAAGCCCTCAACTTTTACTACTGCCTGCTACGCTGAAGGGTCACTGGCCCGATGTCATTGGCTATGATGGTGCAGCGGTGACGACGACGACGCTGATGATGATGTTGGTGATGCTGGCGGCGACGTCTAACTAACGTTGGTTCTGACACTGTTTCGGATGCGGATGCCGATGTCGAGCATTGTGAGGGTGTTCGGTTCCTGGTGGTGTTATCTTCCTGGCTGCGGACGGTTGGCGGCATCGTAGCTGTCATCCTGCAAGGACAAGCTGCTGTCTGCGTTGGGACCCAGGCCCTGGGGGCTGCAGGCGCACTCTTCTCTCCTTTTTGCTTCGGAGTTCGGGGGTTTTGGGGTCGGCATCCGGAGAAGAGCAGCAAGACTACCGACATGCTCGTGATAGATCAGCCGTGTTCCCAAAACCCTGAACCCTCTACGGAATCACTATTTGCAGCACCTTCGAAGGCATCTTGGGATTTCGTGCAGTAGCGATTGAAGTAAGAGGGTTCAGGGTGTAGGGAGTCCCCGCAATCGATGCCTGAACCATGGCGCCCCTGTGCACTGAACCTTCAGTGCTGAAACCCTCAAGCCTGTGGCGTAAACTGGGCCCTTATGGCTAAGCTTGAACGAGAAAGCCCGAAGCCCCACAACTCTCAACGCACAATGCAACCCTACACCCCTAAATCAGCACTGCCCGGACCTTAATTTCCTCACCCCTGCAGCCCTCGAAGATGCAGTGGTACGTTTTGATGTTTTGCTGTGTGATGGCTTCGCCAAGTTGTCTCTCCAACAAGAGTGCCGGCAAAACACAGTAAACATCTCCGGCACTAGCTCGCAAGACGGCTTTGTAGCCTGTTACAAACCTCGAAACTCGTTTTGGGCAAGGGTTGCAAATTTCGCTAGAACCGTTCAAGAGCCCACCAAACCCTGCAGACCATCCTTCTTACTCTGCCAAAAAATCTGCAACACTGTCAGCCCTTACACCCGGGATCCTGTCGAAACCGTAAGCGCCCCCTTCAGTAAGCCTTACCGAGGCCTCTTGGCGCTTTCCGGGTCTTTTTCTGAAGGTTTGAGGGCTTAACAGATTTGAAAGGTGTTGGGTTGGTCTGCTATGTTAGATACAGGTAAGTCGATTACTAGTAGTAGCTTGATGAGGGGCTAGAAGTAGCTCAGCGTTCTCGCGAGCCCCTACAGTGCCTATGAAGTCACGTGATCCATTCAGGCCCTGCACCCTAAACCCTCAAACCTCAAAGCCCCTCAAAGCCCCTCAAAGCCCCTCAAAGCCCCTCCCTAAACCCTAAACCCTAAACCCTAAACCCTAAACCCTAAACCCTCAAAGCCCCTCAAAGCCCCGCAAAGCCCTGCACTCCTCGGCCCCAGTATGCCCCAGTCCCCGGATGTCACGAAGCCCTCGTCAAAAGCCTCATCCCTGCGCCCTCTTCTCGAAGCCATCTCTGGAGCTGCAAAAGTGCAGCAACCCTAATATGGGGGTCTTAATGGTTACCTAAGTTGTTTTGGTAGTTATAATCTTCCCCAAAACCCTACTCTAATTACTCAGGCCCCTACACTATACACCCTAAACCCTCAAAAGCCCCCCCAAAGCAGTGCAGGATCAGGTTTCCGCGTGCGAGCAGAACAAGGAGATCCTGGACGATCGGCACCTAGGTTCCCATCAGGGGGTTTTCCTACAATCAGGAATTTATAGTCCGGTTTCACGGGCGTTTGTGTGATGTTTCTCGTTAGTTTGGGTTTAGGGCTCTTGTCGGAAGTTTAGTTAATCCGCTTAGCAACCGTAGTTCTATAATCATTAACTTTATGACCTTATAAACCTAAAACCTGATTCTAACCATCCACCTTATAACCTTTTAGCAAGACCTGGTTATAACCATGAACTTCTGACCTCATGACATCCGAAACCCTTCAAACCCTAGACCCTCCGCAAGCCAAAGGCACCTCTTCGGGTCGACGACATCCGCACCTTTGGATGAGGCCGGCAGCCGGCAGTTGTCTGGGTTTTCAGGGGTCGTCGTTTGATTATGATTCGGTTTTAGGGTTTAGGGGTTTAGGGGTTTGGGTGTTTAGGGTTTAGGGTTTAGGGTTCAGGGGTTTAGGGTTTTAGGGTTGAGGGTTTGGGGTATGATTCAGGTCTAGAGCTTTCGCAGTTTGGGGTTCGGGGCTTTTTGCGTCTTTGGTTTTTTTGGGCCTTCGGAAAGTAGGGCGTTAGGCTTAGGGTTTTTCTAGTTCAACAGTTTAGTTGCTGAGATCGGACGGTCACGAGAAATTGGGTTTAACGCTGCCGGTTGATGATTTGGGATTCTTGCACGTATTACAAACAGTGCCTCTTTGCCTGAAAGCACTTCTACGGGCTCTCGAGAGCCCGTTACCCAAGCTGCACGCCACACCCTTATGAGATGTAAACAACTGCAGAGTTGCTTTGGTTTAGCGTTTTCTGTTAGACTGGGCTTACACGTAATTGTATCTGCGTGGGGCTTGCGCTGGGTTTCTGGGTTCTGGTTAAGGACCTTCGTTTGTGAGACTCAGTTTCATGCCCTTAATTCTGAAGTCACACAGCCCCCGTAGCACCCTTTGTGGGGCAGTACGGGGCTTGTTGATGAGAGGAGCTTACCCTGAAAGCGGGGAACATAAGGTTTCACTGTTATGGTAGATTTATAACCACGTCAAGAGCGTCCTTTTTTCCCTTGCAAGACCCTAAACTCTGGCCGTACCTTAAACCTGCTTCGAAGGGTTTGAAGGAATCCTTCGAACCGAAGCCAGGGAGAGAGGCTCGGAAAGGAGAGTAGGTTTGGGGTTGTGAGTTTGGGGTTATTGAAGGGCTGCTGTTCTTAAGGCGATATCTTGCGGACAGAAGCCCAAAGCGACGCCATGACTGTAATGAAGACTCGATAAACTATATCGAACCCCTATAGCCTCAATCCACTGCGCGAAACCCTAAACCCTACAGCAGAAATAAATCCAAACTCGCCGGGTCTACCTGACCGAAGAGCCGACTTTGCAGTCATTGTCTGTGCCACACCTTGCTTGTGTAGGGACATGAATAAGTAGAAACGGCGTATGGGAGTTTCGGAAATATGCAATCCCGTAGACACCCAAAGAATGGCATCCCATTCCAAGGAGCCCGAACTTTGAACCTCTAGATTTAGTAGCGACCCATATTTTGGCTGTCACTTCCACTTCGAGTTTACGGCTTAGATGTAGGCTTTCGTTGGAAGGCTGGGAGTTCAGGGTTTCAAGGCTTCCGTCGGAGATCCCCAACCTACGACCCTCAGCTCTCCACCATGTCTGAACAGACCACGCAGCCGAAGAAGTCGAAGCAGCAGATGGTCCTCGAAGCCCTCGAAGCAGGTTCGGCGGCTTTTCATGTGCGTTCCTGTCGAAACCGGAGCCACTCTGTATGTCCATGTCTACATAGTTACATGCACATGTACATGTACATGATTGTGCATGTATAGGTATGTGTACGGATCTATGTAGAGGCTTATGTCTGTACATTTACGTGCATAAGTAAGTCAGTCAGTGAGTTGCCCATGGGGTCATGGCACATGTCTAGCATCAACAGTCCCTGACCTGATGTATTTCCTGCCTGCGAGGTATCTTTCTCAGTTGAGGAAGGTTAGCACTTTTTCACGTGTGGCCTGCCCCCTGATGAACCCTAAATCCTTCAGCGTTCCGATGTCTCCTGAACTTCTACAGCCTGTGACAAAGGCCCGGAAGCTCTAAGCTCAAAGCCCTTGAAACCCATAAAGGCCCATAAGGGTCCCAAGGGCCTCTATCTCTCAACTCCTACAGGCCCCCCCCCCAATAAAAAGCGTTGCAGCCCGAAAAAGGAGTTCCTTTGGCCGCTAGGAAGAACAGAGTGTCCCTTTAAACAGGCAATCCTGGCCAGGACTCGGCAGGCTCCCCTGGCGGAGTTTAGGGGGCTTTGGGGTTTAGGGTTTTTAGGGTTTCAGGGGATTCCAGAGTTTTGAGAGTTTCTGGGCTCAGAAGCTTCGGCTTTGGGGCTTTAGGGTTCCAACGAGGATGGTTGTTGTTTCTGGTGCTACGAGGCTACGGCTATGAATGGGTCGCTGGCGAAGGGTTCGGGCGTGGTTCTTGGATTCATTAGGGATGTGGCCGAGGGCCTCAGGCATTGTCAGCACGAATGCTGATGCTGGTGATGAATGAGTTATCGGTGGCGGCAGCATGGAGCACAACCTCAAGCTTAAAGTAAAGCCGAACCACACCTATTTTACACGGCTCTCGAAAGCCAACACCACCGGAATCAGTAGCGCACAGCACGCTCGGCTTGCATCCCGTGGGAGATTAGTCCTACGATTTCGGGCTGTGCATGATACGTAGCACTACTGAAGCCTCCTCCTTCACAGCTCGACTCGTCCTCTTGGTGTATCCGTCCACAACCGAAGCCCCGAAGACCACGAAATGTCCGTGCCGACCACGCCCACATCCAACAAAGCACAGCAGCAGCCCCGTCCGCCTGCAACGGCAGCCTTTTTCACTTTGGATCAGCAGCAGCGGTCAGCACAGCCGCCTGGTAGGAAAGTGGAGCATGCAAGCAATGCTTTCAAGAGAGATACCCAGGAGAAGAGTATGGAGTACCAAACAGTGCAAGGCTCTACGTGCAGTGCAAGGTTGTGCATGCTAGTATGCAGAAGTGCATGCGAAGGTAGAGCCGATCGCAGCAGACCAGATGCCATTACACATGGTCTCAACTTGGATGTTGACATCCTGATGTAGCGGTGTACATCACGACGCATCTTCGTGCTGTAGTGATATACCACTACCGTAGAGCATACAACAGCTTGGTAATGGGTAGATCCTCACTGCGTGCTACAACAGGTCAGGCGCCTAGATCCTGACTTACGGGTCTGGTAAAGGCAGGCCTGCAACATGAGGTGTGTCGGTGGCGAGCCACACAAGCAAAAGCAAGCCAAACATCCTTCCCGAACTCTGAAAACCCTGCTTCTCTACACCCCGAAGGCCCCAAACTCGAAAACCATAAAGGCCTTCTGTCCATACCCCAAATGCTAAACCCTAAACCCTAAATCCTGGAGGCGACGACGCTCCTTCTCCGGCCGCCCCGGCCGTGGTCCCCTCCGCTTCTCGCATCGTCGGGCCGGCTCTGCGCAGGGGCCCTGTTCATAATCTAGGGGCCTTTTCTTTCCGACAGGCGTAGAGTCCGGCGGACGTGCCTATTGCGAAGATGCGAATTCACAAGTGAAACAAAAACTGCGAGCGTCGCTCCCATCGTGGCCACCCTGAAGCCGCACAAGCCAGTCAGAGATAGGGCTCAAGTCATTTGCCCCAACCGGGAAGACCAGTCGCACTGGCACGCCGGAGATGGCATATTGGACAAGGCATCCTGAAAGGCGTAAGACCCCCTCGATCCACTGCCTAGCGCCACGGAGCAGGTGAACAGGGCCAGGGCATGGGGCAAGAAGGGGCGGAATAGCTGAAGGTGGGGCCGGAAGAGAAACGCAAAATCCAGAGGCAGGCATGATGGCACCAGCCAGGAGGTCACCAATAGGGACCTCAACTGGAGGATAGCTGCATAGACCCCATCGTCGAATCCACTGACAGTCGACATGTCCACTCCAGAGCACAGGCCGAGGTTCACAAGCAGGTGCGAAACACGGAGGGGTAATGTCAGGGTGAAAGAAGTCGTCCGATAAGGTATCAGCACCGCCCTCATTTACCTTGCCGGCGACCTTGTCGCAAAGGTGTTCCGGGTGGAGCACCAGGAGGACATCGGCACATGCAGAAGCCTGTTCTTCATGCGTGGCCTGCGCTCGCCACACCTCTAGGGTTTGACGAAGGACAGGAAGAGGTGCAACATTTACCTCTACCAGGTCGTAGATCTGCTGATCCGTGGCCTGTGCAAGGTCACAAAGGGACTGATACAAATCCAGGTGTATCTCGGGACCAGGATCCCCTTGGAACTTGATACCCGGGCCCGCTTCGGCGGGCGTTTGCACATGCACATCAGAAAGGTCAGGCTCATACAGGAGCTCCGGGGGCGGAGAATGCATGAGCACACGAAGACACTTGTCGGAGTGCTTGAGGTGTAAACAAAGCTTGGCCGTATTGGCAAGGAGCAATCCACATGCTTGGCAGCGCCGGCCGAGGGCCAAGTGATGTGCAGGATGGTGGTACGCATGAACGCGATGAGCATGTGCACCCCATGCCTGCCGCGTCCTAAAAGCGAGCCGGCAGGGGAGGCAAGCGTGCACGCATGTCGATAGACCAGTTGCCGCCGGAACAGGGGCGGGTGGCCATGTGGACCGGCCGAAGGTTTCACATACAGCCCGGATATGCCGAGCCTCGACGTGCCAGCGTTCGGCCCGCTTGATGAGGCCCTTAAACTTCCCAGGTGCGGAGCGCATCATGCCCTCCCACTGTCTCCATGAGGTAGTGATATCCCCCAGGATCGAAAATCCCCGGACGGCTTCGAGGAGCCAATCAGCAGCTGCAAGGAGACCACGGCGAAAGGCATCGAAATTCTGCAGGAGCGCCCAGGCAAAGTCAGGGCCAGATCTGACCATCAAAAGCAGGAAACGCAACCTTTCAGCAGAAAGCAAGGAGCGAGGACACGGGAGGCCGGTGCGTTGCAGGATCTGAGACTCAGTGACCCGCCAAGCCTCAGAATGCAGACCTAAGAGCTGTCGATAAAGGCCAATGATGCCTCCCGAGAAGGTCTTCCACTCCGAAGAACTCAGGCTAGGCCAGGTGCCGCAACCAGACAAAACCGCAGTGAGCACATGCGACCTGAACAGGACCGAGCGCCTGGCAATATCGATACGTTTGCAGGCAAAAAGCCGCGCCTTCCCCTCACGGAAGGCTGCACGGCCGACTGCAAGTCGGTGCCGTATTTCCATGTTGAGATTGCCGTCCCAAGCAAGGACAGATCCCAGGTGCTTGTAGGATGTGACAAGGTCAAGCCACACAACACCAGATGACTCAGGCCATACCGGAAGCTTACCCTTGAGAACGGTGAAAAGCTCACGTCTGGCTCGACGGGATCCCCGGCCATGGATGGAAACAATGGCTGCAGTCTTGGTGGGTCCCAAGTTGGCGGTGAGCCCGTGTTCAGGCAAAACATCCAACGTGGCCGCGGCAACATCCCCAAGCGCTCGCCGGAGGGCCCCCGGGTCTGACGCAACGACAAAGGAGGCAAGGTCATCGGCAAAGATAACGTCCTGCACCGTAAGGGAAGGATTAGGGCCGCAAGGCTCAGAAGGAAAAGGACTGCGGACGCCTGTCCAATCCACTCGCGGGCGCGTGTCCATGCTAGCCTTATGGGCGCGGCGAGCAAGGACCCGACTGAAGAGCAAGTTGAAAATGACGTCCGCCAGGGAGCCCCCTGGTCGAGTGCCTCTGTGGGTTCGAATGAGGGAAGTGTCGTTCGCAAGGACAAACCATGTGTGACTATGCAGCTCGCGAGCAAGCTCCACAAAAAGCAACGACGAACCCTGCTCGCGCAAAACAGGTTGCTCGGCGATGTGGGACTGCATGACCTGGAGGTCGTCAGCTGAAAGTCCAAGCGAGGCCGCAATTGCACTGACGCTCCTGTCTCCCAAGCTGGAACCCAAAATGGTCTCACGGACCACGCTGTAATAGGCCGCTGCAAGATCGACAAAGAGAATGCTCGATGCCTGATTGGTCGCGCGTGTGTGGGCGAGGAACGCCCTAGAGCAAAAGTGGCCGAAGTGAGCAGAGCATCCCTTGCGACCTCCGAGCTGTACCGGCAACGCGTGGGGAAGCCACTGGGAAGTTGCCAGTCCACGGAAAGAGCGGTGTACCGCTTTGGAAATGCAAGACTGCACAAGTATGCCACGATGTCCTGTGCAGAGGTGCTGAAGAGACGGGTTCGGCTTCGGGATGTGATGAAGTAGCCCTCCTTTGAGGCCGGCAGCTTCAGCCGCACAAAGCACCGTCTTGAGCATCATCGGCCAGAACAAGGAAGCCATGTCTGAGCTGAAGTGACGACAAAGTGCCGGGGGCAACAGGTCTGGACCGCAGGCCTTAGCCACTGCAGTAGCACGAAAAGATTGCGCCAGCACTTCAAGGGAGGGCACATCCTTAACATCGACCTGCTCAGTGCCGCTGAAAGAATCGTGCCACTCCTGACAGGATGCAGCAAGAGCAGCCGCAGAAGTAGGTACGCCGTCCTCAAGCGCGCTGAAATGATCGCGCCAGGCAGCTTGAACCTCGGCCTCAGTACGGCAAACCTCACCCGCCTTATTGTACAAGAGGGGCAACGGATCCGGGGTGGACTTCCGGAAACGCTTAGGCCTGAGGACCTTTTTGACGGAGTGGTGAAGCCCGGCAGGGGAGCAGCTCTGTACCTCATCAGCCACAGAAGCGAAGAACATTGCGCGATCAAGGCGGCATTGACGACGGAGTTCCCCTCCTGCCCTGTGCAGGAGAAGACAAGAAAGCGCAAGCTTATGGCGGAGGTCCCACAGCCATTTCCCAGTGAACAGTGCGCCGAAAGATGCTTCCCCTGATCTCCAAGCATAAAAGGCACACCGCAACCGGGTCCAGTCGAGAGCCACCTTACGCGCACGAATGCAATGACGCAAGGTGCCGACCATGCGATGTAGAAGCTGGGTAGTATCCGAGAGGTGTTGACTACGCATGCGCCTGCATGAAGCCGGGAAAAGACGGACCAGACAAGTGTACAAATGGTCAACAAGGACTGCGGCATGTTCGCTTACATCGACGGCCCATTCCGGCCTTGGCGCACCACGTATGACAGCCTGGACCGTAGCCGCATTGTCCGGGTGCGACAAGGCCGCCACATCAATTTTGGTGGGCCTAGAGACTTTAGCATGACGTGCAAAGCGCATGCACGCTGAGAAACACGCAGCAAAGTGGTCAACGCAAGCATGTCCGGTGGTGATCCCTGGGTCGACCCACGCTTGACAATGACCAGCGCGCCAACTAAGCGGCACCCCAATGTAGTCCGAACGTACCAATTCGCCGTTCCGATGGAGGCATAAGGTACCCCCGTCTCCTTGCATAGTCCCTGGAAAGGTGGAGGGGAGCCAGAGGTCAAACTCAAGAAGCAATGCGTGCAAAGCAGCGCCTGAGAGGTCCTCAGGATCGGGTTGGTATGAGCCTACGGCTCGGCTATGGTTGGAGCCAACGCGGCAATTGCCATCGAGCATAAAAAGCCACGGCTGTCCCTGCCCAAAGCTACGGCACATCTTGCCAATGCGCTTCCACCAAGCAGCACGTGTCTCCTCGCTGTGCGCACGGTGAGGCGCGTGCCCAACCAAAACGCGCATGCTGACTCGTCGGAAGGTCACACTTGCCACAAGAGCAGTGGGCTCGGCATGCAGCACAGCAACGGTGCTAGATGTGAAGGGACCGCGCGAAGCAACCCAAAGTTCGACCCCAAACCCCGAATCCGCGTCGCAACCTGAGGCGAACCGGTGGTACCCTTGGCACTTAAAAGTACCAGAAGGGGTACGACACTCTTGCAGGCCAGCGATGTGTATCTCACGGTCTGCCAGGGCCCGAGCCAGTAGAGCAGTACGGCCGATCGCCCCATGCAAACCAACAGAGGAGCCGTGTTGTGTCGCCCCGAGAAGGGACAGCACGTTGTAGGTAGCGACGCGGACAGTGAGGACCTCGGGGGCCCCCGAGGTGACCGGGACCTCACCAGGAACGGCTCGCAGAAAAGGGGCCATGACGTCAACATGACTGTGGCGGCAAGAAGATCCAGACTTCCAAGACATGAGGTCGTGGTGCAATGGCGGGAACTCAGCAGGCCTACTCTGCGAGAGGCATAGCTGGGGCAGCCAGTGGCTGCAGAGACCGCCGTCACGGAACCAGAAATCCAAATCAACGGAAAAGGGGAAGACTGAAGTACGCCCAGCAGAGCCGAGAAAGGCCAGTCCATCAGCAAGCTCATTTGCACAATCCCCGGCATGACCGTAGACATGTTGGAAATGGATTGGGCGATCGGATAGGCTCCTGAGGGCCACAAAGAAATTGCGAGTGACAATGCAGAGCGGGTGGTCTCGCATGTGCGCCTTCCCTGCTACCCCATCTAAAGCAGATGAGTTATCCGCACGAAATAGAAGTGCGCCGAAACCAGGCAGTTGAAAGCTAGCAACGG